AGTAGTAGTAGTAGTAGTGTAGTAGTAGTAGTAAGTAGTAAGTAGCGTAGTAGTAGTAGTAGTAGTAGTAGTAGTAGTAGTAGTAGTAGTAGTAGTAGTAGTAGTAGTAGTAGTAGTAGTAGTAGTAGTAGTAGTAGTAGTAGTAGTAGTTAGTAGTAGTAGTAGTAGTAGTAGTAGTAGTAGTAGTAGTAGTAGTAGTAGTAGTAGTAGTAGTAGTAGTAGTAGTAGTAGTAGTAGTAGTAGTAGTAGTAGTAGTAGTAGTAGTAGTAGTAGTAGTAGTAGTAGTAGTAGTCGTAGTAGTAGTAGTAGTAGTAGTAGTAGTAGTAGTAGTAGTAGTAGTAGTAGTAGTAGTAGTAGTAGTAGTAGTAGTAGTAGTAGTAGTAGTAGTAGTAGTAGTAGTAGTAGTAGTAGTAGTAGTAGTAGTAGTGGTAGTAGTAAAAGTAGGAGGAGGAAGAGAAGGATAAGGAACATGAGAAGGAACATGGAAATGAGAAGGGCAGAGGAGGAGGAGGAGGAGGAGGAGGAGGAGGAGGAGGAGGAGGAGGAGGAGGAGGAGGAGGAGTAGAGGAAAAGGATGAAGATGAGGAGGAGGATGAGGGGGAGGAGGAGGAGGAGAAGGAGGAGGAGGACGAGGAGGAGGAGGAAGAGTAGGAGGAGGAGAAGGAGGAGGAAAAGGAGGAGGAGGAGAAGGTGCAAGAGCATGGATGATGATGGTGCTGTGGCTGGTGGGAATGATGATGGTGGCGATGGTGATGATGATGACTATGATGCTGACTCTGATGCTGATGATGATGATGCTGATGCTGATGCTCATGCTGCTGCTGATGATGATTATGATAAGGAGCTGTTTGCACATATGTTCTGAAACGTATGATGTTTTCCATCAGCTCTTGTGTCGGTCCGGGTATTTCGTGGGATTGGTCGGTTGGGCCTGCTGGAACCGATTCGTTACCACTCGTACGTGCTTGAGCCTGGGGGCACTCCACTCCTGGCTGGAGGCACAGTGGCGGATGGTTGCGCTTACCTCTTCCCGCGCCCAAGGCCAAAGCTGCGGACTTGCAATCACTATCAACCTGCATGTGATCGAGGTGCTGTCCTTGTTCCGGGTGGTGTGAACCGTGCTGCGCCGTGCAGAGGTGCCCCAAAGTCCGATGCGATGGCTCGGTGCCGCGCGATGTTGTGCCACGGTGCTGTGCGGCGACGCGCTTGGGGCCGCGAGGTCTGATCTCGTGGCTTGCGCAGTGCCGTCCGCGGCCTCTCAGAGGTCCAGCATGCCGGCCTCGTGCCACGCGGCTGCGCGTCGTGGTGCTGCGTGAGACAGGTGACGTCATGCAATATGTGGCTCCCCGGGCTCCGATTGAGTGGCAATGTGTCGGCACCAAATGTATGGGAACTTTGTGTGCCGTCGCACTTCCGTCTTTAGCGTCCATTAGCGTCGAGTAGCGTCTTTGCAGTCAATGAGATGGCTTCGATTAGCGTCGAGTAACGTCTGGTAATGCATGCGATGGCGTTGATTTAGCGTTGAGTGGCGTCGGTTAGCGTCGATTATCGTCGATTCAGCGTCGACCACCACAGAGTAGCGTCGATCAGCGTCAGTTGTCGTCGGCCAACAAGATGGTAGGAGAGGCTTCCGTGAGTTGCCACCGAACAAAGTACCGAGTGGGGACGAGCAGTGCTTTTAGTAGTACCTATCTGGTGCCGCTCCGGGTGTCAGCGGGGCGCCTTTGGAATGGAAGCGGTTTGCATCGTGCGCTATGGGGGACACGTTCGAGCGATCCGTCTGGTGCGGGATGCGTTTCAGGTTTATTGCGAAGGCTTGACGGCCAGTGCCGCCGATACGGCTTTTGCCGCCGACACTGAAGGGGGCCGCCGACGACGACGGTGGCGGCGGCGGTGGCGGCGGCGGTGGCGGCGGCGGCGGTGACGACGACGACGACGACGACGACGACGACGCTGACGTCGGTCAGAGTCCTCAGGGTTGCTTCTTGGGGTCTCTTCGGAGTGCTCTCGGGGGCCTCGGGGGGGCAGCTTGAGCGATCCGTCTGGTGCGGGATGCGTTTCGGGTTCATTTCCTGCGAGGAGTGGCGAAGTTCGTCGTTTAGTGCATTACGTTTGTGTGAGTGGCCATGGCTGCGGATGGATGGTGAGTGACATGGGCGCATTTTAGAATCCTCGTGCCCGGCCGCCCAGCCGAAATTCCAAGGGTTCGTTGGCTGTCTGGGTTATGATTGTTGAATATCTCTATGACTTGCCATAGCAGGCTGCTGACGCCATCGAGAAATACATCGAAGAGAAGGACATCGCGGCGCATGTGAAGCAGGAGTCTGTCGCTTGTTTGCACGTACAGGGTAGGGGAGAGCAGTCGTGTCAGGTGCTAGATGTGCGCCCGCGATGTTGAAGGATGCAGTGAACCGTCCACATTGATCAGCACAGACGGGCATGAACAGGCGTGACAGGGTGGGAAGCGCCGTGACCATGTCAAGAAAAGTACCGATAGGCA